CACACACACACACACACACACACACACACACACACACACACACACACACACACACGTTTACCTTCACACACTCTGGTGTCTGGGTTGAGGGCGAAACCTTGAGGACATTCACAGTGGAAGCTGCCGAACGTGTTGATGCACTGTCCTCCCTGACACAGGCCCGGCAGCTCCTGACACTCGTTGATGTCTGCAGAACAACAACACAACAACACAACATTAGACAGTGTGGCTGCAGGTTTCTGTTGGCTGATGACGGCGTGTCTCTGACCTTCCAGGATGACTGTGATGGGGTTGGGTCTGAAGCCCTCTCCTCCAGGACACAGCGTCTTGTAGTCAGCTGCAGCACAGGAGAGCAGATCAGAACCAGAACCTGTCTGCAGCTGAAACCTTTCATCACCCCTGTGTCTGGAGGCAGACACACAATGCAGACTAAAGAGTAAGCCTCAGACTAAGAGCTGCTGAGGGAAAAGACTTCCTGAAGCAGCAGAAGGTTCTGAAGGTCCAACAGGTTCTACACAGGTTTAACTACAAACAGCTTCACTTCCTGTTTGGAGGAAAAGCATTTAAACCAAAGAAACACTGAACCTGAGCGCGTTTAAAAGACGAGTGCTGGTTCTGCTGAACTGCAGGTCCAATCAGGACCGGTTTTAACACTAACTTCCATTAAATCCCACAGATTTAACACCAGTTTATACCCTGCCACCAAATGTTACAGCTCGCAGCTACAGAGAGACAACATTAAGTCTGTAGGTTTGCAGGATAGTGGGTCTGAAACCAGACCTAATTAGGTACGGTGCAGTATGAGGGCCAAAATTAAGACCATTGCTCAACCAGTGGTTGTTACAACCTAAACCAGATATTGATCTGATTAATGATAGGCCGGCACCAATAACTGAGCAGCTAACCCGCTAACTGAGAGGCTGGAGCAGGCTAATGAGAAGAAGACTATTCATGTGTGTTAGCACAAGCTAACACCAGCTTATCCATGCTAGTCGCTAGCGTCCCCAATGCTAACACCAGCTTATCTGTGCTAGTTGCTAGCATCCCCAATGCTAACACCAGCTTATCTGTGCTAGTTGCTAGCATCCCCAATGCTAACACCAGCTTATCTGTGCTAGTTGCTAGCATCCCCATTGCTAACACCAGCTTATCTGTGCTAGTTGCTAGCATCCCCATTGCTAACACCAGCTTATCTGTGCTAGTTGCTAGCATCCCCATTGCTAACACCAGCTTATCTGTGCTAGTTGCTAGCATCCCCATTGCTAACACCAGCTTATCTGTGCTAGTTGCTAGCATCCCCATTGCTAACACCAGCTTATCTGTGCTAGTTGCTAGCATCCCCATTGCTAACACCAGCTTATCTGTGCTAGTTGCT